TTGCACTGATAAATAACTTATTATACAAGGTGTCTGGGCCTAAAGTATCCAAAAGTAAAACTACTCATCAGAATGTAATAAACTATTCATACATGGATTGGTAAACTCTCCAAGTCCGATCGGCCGCACGTGCGCGTATTATTCGGCAATCGCAGACGATAAACTTTTTACACTGATTTCATTAGTACAGATGTGGAAGCCACAGCAAAGGGTGCAGTGCGTATTTTAGTTTACGGGATTTATTTAAATCAGTCACACGTGTACAGCGACGTGTTCGAACAGAATGGAATGTCATTACTGGCTAGTCTAATATACTTATCAGGACTCCTACGAAATCAATCAATCTATCTATCTATCTATCTATCACGAAAACTCAAGGATACTTGCCAGTTTGAGATACCTAAGTTCCCTCCTTTAAAGTTCTGTCCCATTGGTGGATAGATTTTGATGTCGGAGGGTCGACATTCCATTCTGTTCACGCTGTACACGCGTGACAGATTTAAATTCCTTCAACCAAAGTACGCACTACACCTTTTACTGAGGCGTCCACATCTGTGCCAATAAAGTTAGTGTAAATGGTTTATCGTCTGCGATTGCCGAATAATGCGCGCACGTGTAGCAGATCGGACTAGACCCCAAAAATCTCGCAGTTTTCTAATCCATGGATGAACAGTTTATTACATTCCGATGAGTAATTCCGTAATAATAAGACATTGCTTTTGGATACTTTAAGCCCGGAGCTCTTTATTATCTCTATCTGTTATTAAAAAGTAGTTCTAACATTGAGTAAGTAATGTTTTTGTCTTATGATGAAATATAGAAAACGTTATTTTTCTCATTTCAATCAATTCTTTTTGGATATTTTTGCAATTACACTAATATCTTGAATTTTTCATTAATCCGATGCTTTATATGGGGAAGGGAAATGTTTTATCAGAAAGCATACGACAAACTTTGATTGCTTATAATTTTTTTCTCGATTATTTTGCTTTGAATAAGTTATTTTTCTTTTATTTTCATTTGAAAAAGCATAAAATTAATTAAATTACTTCGTAGATTTTTTCATTACTGGATACATGGTAAATTTTAATTGTTCAGTTTAATCCATGTTTTCCCCTCAATATTCCCTTAGGTTTTCAAATGTGTGCTACAAGAACTCCTAATAAAATGTATACTTTGATTTAATAGCTAGGTTTGTTTTTATTAGCTTCACATAGTACAAAACTTTTACTGGCGATGAATCTTGCAATTTTATATGCTTGTAGCATGCATTCATATTCTATCTTAAATATGATATTAACATAATATATATATCTTCGGAAAATCAAATCTATTTCTTTTATGACTGCCGAAGCAATTATCGCTACTCTACAGATATTTATGACTAAATAGAACTCGTGAAGTGCGTCATACTACCATACGCACCCTTACTTAATCATTTTCTTGTTATTTAACGCATTTAGCGAATAAGTATGGTGAAATTTCAAATAGAAATGGATGCAATCATCTTAAATATTTGTTGAAAAATAAATAAAAAATCATATTTGTTAAATAAGAGAGAACAGCCTTTAATATAATTCACAGAAAAAATATTGATGTGTATATGCTCGAGCGTGGAAAGACATTTTTCGAAGTGTATACCAGAATATCATCAAAAAAGATTCCCATTTTAAAGGTGAAAATAAATTTTAAAACTAAAAAGGCTTCTTGAAGTTGATATGCAAGTCTAACTTAAGCTTGAATCGTATGAAATAAGAGCAACGAACTAAGTATTTTTCCTCTTACTAATGAAAATCTATATGAATTTAAAAGAAAAAGTATTTCTTAAAAATAATTGTTCGAAAAAAATTTAAAATCCCTCGTATAAAAGTGAATTTATATATATATATATATATATTATATATATATATATATATATATATATATATATATCTTGTTTTAGAGAAATTCTTGGATTGACAGGAGAAATGCAACGGGCAGTCGTGTGTCCTATTATATTTTATTTCAATATTCAGTAAAGAAGTCTGCACTCTCTCCAAGCCATGACAAAAACGAGAGCTCTTTCAGCGTTGATCAGCAGCGAGTGAGTCCTTACTACACGTGTCTTCTTTAAGTCCGGCGAAAGTAGAAGTCAAAGTTCCTATGCGGGAGGGGGGTTGAGTTGTTCTGGTAAGAAGTTTACCCCAACTGACACTTGAGGGGCTGGGGATTCATCATATATATATATATATATATATATATATATATATATATATATATATATATATATATATATATATATATATATATATATATGTGTGTGTGTGTGTGTGTGTGTACTGAAATGAATTTGAAAGCACCAAACTGCCGAAAAAGACAGGAAGATATGTACCGTTTAGAAGAAACAATACGTTTTTCTTCTCCAAAGCTGTTTTTAGCCAACTGACACTTGAGGGGTTGGGGATTCATCATATATATATATATATATATATATATATATGTGTGTGTGTGTGTGTGTGTGTGTGTGTGTGTGTGTGTGTGTGTGCGTGTGTGTGTGTGTGTGTACTGAAATGAATTTGAAAGCACCAAACTGCCGAAAAAGACAGGAAGATATCTACCGTTTAGAAGAAACAATACGTTTTTCTTCTCCAAAGCTGTTTTTTTTTAAAATTGTAATAATCAAACACAACTAAAAATGTAGTACAACTTTAATTTGCTCTCACAATGGAATTTCATTGGAGAAAACACGTCACCCATTGCAGGATGAGTGCATTTTTCAGATACTGGGGGAAGTGGTGCAAACATTGTCACGTGAAAGGAAGGAATCCATCAGAGTTAATTAAGCAGAGAAGGGAAATGATCCCCTCTCTCTTCACACATCCTCAACACGCGCAGGATTTGTTGGCACACAACTCAACTCTTCTCCACTCCAACTATCCACACACACAGTATGGGAGAGATTTGATAGAAAGAATATTTGAATATGCAAAGAATTTGGGGGAAATAACTTGTGTCATTTTTTAAAAGGTGTGTTTTATGATATCGATATTACAAATAATGCAGAAATATACGTATTTTTAAGAAAAAACGCAACTTATAAAACAAAGTAAATACATAATTTTTTTTTGTTAAAGCTCAGAGTGAAATTTACAAGTAGCAGCAATAAATTTTATATAGAAGTGTAATCAAATATTTTTAAGCTACATATTACTTTTTGAATTGTTTTTTCGATAAATCGTCAGTTTTTCAAACAAACAAATAGTTAAACAATTTTATTATTACTGCTAAATAATTATTTAAATATTTGATAAAAATGATTAACATAAAAAAAGCATAAAAAATCTGACTCATATTTTTTTTAACAATCATTTTTGAAGATGAGAAAACAAAACTTGACAATGTAGTTTTTCTTAGAAAAGTTATTTAAATACTTTCTGTTTATATATTTATATTATATATATATATATATATATATATATATATATATATATATATATATATATATATATATATATATATATTTTTTATTTTATTATGCTATATATATATATATAGTATAATAAAATAAAAGTGACGAAGTACTAGAACCTGTAGTGCTAAAGTAAGAAATTGGAAAATTGGAATTCAGCAGACACAACAAATGTAGATACAAAAAAGTCATTGGACTAAACTGGAGAGACCTATTATGATTTCTAAAAATATGAATATATTGTTAAAACTATCCGAAATTCCTTTAGGTTTCTTTTTATTACACTGTACTATTTTAAAATTTCTTGATTTTTTAAAAGTAAAATTTTGATTTACAGAGAGCATACTACATATACTAAGTCAAAAAATTTCCTTCAGAAATTTTTTTTAAAATTCATATCATAATGAAAAGTTTCAAAAAATACAAGTTCCAATGAAAATGAAAATTTTGTTCAGCTGAATAAAGAAACACAAATTAAATTTTCAAAAAAAAAAAAAATTGGTTGTTAAAATTTTAGAAAAAATGTAACATAATTCTGAGGTAACAAGGGGTTACTCGCAATGTTTTCTTTTTCTATTGAAGCAGGAATTGCGTGGCGTTGCGCATTTAAAAATTGAGGACGGTAATTAACGAGCCTCCACAAACTTAAGTCAAATTAAATTTACTTCATTATCATTTTAAAGGCAGGATGGCTTGTCGAACAAAAACCATGAGTGTTCCAAAATGCTCTGAACAAGGACAGTTAGTTCTCTTACAGAAATGAAATGTAGCACACACACAAGCACTGGGTATCAATATTTCTTTAAAAAATATGCAACTTTCAGTTTGAGGCAAATTTTCTTCGTTTCTAGTACAAGATATATTATTAAATGAACATCAAACTTAATCGTTAACTAATTCATTCTATATTTAAATAAATTGAATACATAAAGTAGTGTGTTTACTTTCTTCGACTCTATAAAATAAGGATAATAATCTTAAAATCTTTAAAAAGTAGATTTTTGATAAAGTTGACCTTGGAAACATTTTTTATAACTCCGATTCTTCTCTTTTTCCTCTCTTTCCTCACGCCTCCCTCTCAGCCTTAATAGCTTTTTCTTAAATATCGAGGCTCATTTACCTACACAATGATTATTTCACAAAAATAATTAGGTTCTCATATCAAAAGTTATGGTAAAGAAGCCCCAGAGGTTAATTGAGAAAAATGTGTCATCAGAACCCATTGCAATTTTTAAGTATTTCGTATTTTTTTAAATTTGTTTTTTTAAAGAGATTTTAGGGGAAACAAGTAATATAAAAAAAACTTTTTCAAGTCAATTCCTACTTAGGTCAACAAAATTTTTTTTTTACTTTAGTTATTTTTTATTAAATAGTTACAATTAATATAAATATATATACATATGAGAGAATCACAATATAAGTGACAAAATAGAAAGCGATTTTCTTTTCTGTATATGGTGTTGGACTTTTTTGTTACTATTTATTCATTAATTAAATTTAATTATTCCAATAAAATAGTACAGTAAAAAAATCATATTCTCAGAAATTAGGCCATCCCAGGTGGGATTTGAACCGACGACCTTTGGATTAGAAGTCCAACGCTCTAGAGGGACTGTGTGACAACTGAGCTACAGGGACACAACGAACGATTTTCCTTTCAATATTCGCTGTTGGACTATTATTTTTGTTTGTTATTTTTCAATTTAATTAATGAATTAATATTTCTAAGAAATGTGTTAACATATCAAGTGTCATTCACTACAAGTTTAAAAAAATGTATTTGAACTTGAATGGATGAATAGAAAGTGCTTTATTAACAATTGAAAATTTGAACATGATATATATATATATATATATATATATATATATATATATATATATATATATATATATATATATATATATATATATATATAGGGAGAGAGTGAAGTGATAGTAGGAATTAAATAAAAAAAACTTCTATTAATGATGTGTTTAATCGCATTCTAATTTCCAAAAGACAAACACGATATTTGTGAAAGAATCAATGCAAAGACGATAAGAAATGAAGTTGCTTGAAAATCGTTGCCATTATCAGAAAAAAAAAGGGGAAAAGGAAACAGCGAATGGTTTTGCAATCTTTGTTCTGAATCAAGATTTTCTTGTTGTACTGCCCTCTGCACTTATCATCCGAGCGGAAGATTAAAAGCCAATATAATTATGTAAATTGCCTTAATGACACTTCGATTACTTTAATTTATTTTACGATAACATCACATATCGCAGACAAAGACTTCTAAAGAAATACATCTTTTAATATATTCGTAATCATTTTCGAAATTTTATCAGACTTTATCTCTTTGTTGTTTTTATTCGAGTTGTTTGCTATTTTGCTTCAGTTTGTTGAAGTTTTAATTCCTTAATCTGCTCATCTCTTCATATTTCTATCGCTAATGCGCTAATATTTTTAGGTGAACAGAAAAAAGTTCGCTTATAACACATAGGTACATAGAAAAATTCGCGCGCGCATATAAATTAAAATTAATCTTATTAATCTATGCCTATTTGTTCTCTTTTAACTATGTTAATAATTCTTTTCCTCGTCGTTCCGGTATAATTAAGTCTATTATATACAGTACTAAAGCAATTAAATTGTAATTGGAAAAAAAATATTTGAGAAACTGAAGTAGCATATCATTAAATTGTACAAACAATTTTTTTTTCTTTCTTTCTTATTGCTTATGTGTTGTAGGTTCAAAGTTTCAGAGCTCCATAATAAATAAATACGCTTTTACAAAATGGGGGGAATCTATTTACGAAAAATATTGGTTTTTTTAATAAACCAATATAAAGATAAAAATGATTACCTTCTTCGGGCTAAGAAAGGCGCACTATTCTTAAAAACAACAACTATAAAACATCCTGCTTAGCTTTTCGAAAATCTTATCGCGAAAAAATAATAATGTTTCTTGTGGAATTTTTTGTTTATATTTGTACCAGCTTATTTTTCTGAATGTCAGCCATTTTAAACAAAAACAACTCACATCTGTGACATTTGAACACAAATATATCAAGAACGGTGTTATGTGGTGGCGACATCTATTGTACAAGTTTCAAAGCTAAACCTCACCTGAGAGATGAAACTGGTTATTTCCAGTAGGGAGATATATTTAGGAAAGAAGGATAGGTTAAAGACCTTGAAACCAAACTCCATACTTCCGCACACAAAGGAGATGATGAGAGTACATTATTTAAAATGCTTATTCGCCAAGAATGAAGAGCCTAAAGAGTAAATTTTCGAGATATTAAAGGTTTTTTTTAGCGAAAGAGCATTGACCTTGTTCTTGGGCGCTTACATGTAACAATGTAAGGACGTTTTAGAAGTTTTATTTACTCATTCATTCAAATATTATACATAGGTAAAAATCTTACACAAAGTTTTTTAAAAAAATTGTTTAGATTTATGGCTAAATATTTTTTTTAATTTAAAGTTTCGTTAAATATTGTGTTCAAAAGTAATGCTTAATATTTAATATCTTCTTATAATTTTGTATACAAATACTTCATTGAATCCTCCATTTCGTCATGGTTATACGACTACAAAACTGTTTTATGAAGTTTAGATAAAATAAAAAATTTATTCCGAAAAAAGTCATACATAATTAGAATATTTGTATACATTCAATCAATCACGATCAAACTGCCACCCATTCCAAACAGTGGTAAGAGATGCATACTGCGGTGCCGTAGGGCCTGGATTTGAATTCCGAAGAATTCATGTATGTTAAAAAACGTATAGTGCCTTCGCCGCATGGGGGTATTCTGAATAGCCGTCGAGCCGCAAGTCCTCTCGTGAGGTTGGTGGAAGGGGAAGAGAGGCCCCTGACCACCTCCACGGTGTTCTCCCTCAAAATTGGAGTGGAACCAAGCAAAATCGTGCTGTAACCTGCACGGTGCTCAAAGCCAAGGGAAACGACAGGCGTAAAAATCTAGGTCTTATACGTGATGAATTTCTTGGCCTTTATCTGATATTACAGTCGATCAGGTGGCATTACGAATTTACTTGATTTTCTATCTACTACACCAGATTTTGAAATCATTTTATAAAATTTTTAATATAAAAGTTTTTGAAAGATCCATTCAAATATTTATTTCATTTTTTGCAAAAGCGAATGTTTCTATGAAAAAAAATTGATTCTTTTCAATTTATCGAAATATATATAATTGGGAGAATCTGTGTAGATGTGAGTAAAGATGCATGAAATTATCAAACTATGCTAATTTTTAAAACTTAAATATAAAATCAATTAAAGAAACAAATACAGAGAGTCAGAACTTCATTCAAAATGTATTGTTAGTAAAAAACTTTCAATATAAGATGCTAGTTTTCAGGTGTTATTGAGATTTGTGATAAATTATAATAAAGATAATGAATTTTTTATCCATTCCTGAAGTTCGCATTTTTTAAATTTAATATTTTTTAACACATTTTAATTAAAAATTTCTATGGTAACATCCAAATATCTTGAGAACAAATTGTGTTAATATATGTAAATAATATACCCTCCAGATTTCATCTAATTACCTTTAATAATATTTCAGAAAAACTCATTCAAAGTCGAAAACAATTACGGAAAACACGTAAGGGTGAGAGATGAATTTAAAAATTAAACTGGTCAAAATTAAGCAGTTCCATCAAAATATGGTTCTATCTATATGTTTTGTTTTACTTGCGAAATCATTCTAAATTAAACTCTATATGTGGAATAAAATAAGATTCCTAATTTTTTCCCAAGGTAAAACATTTTTGAAAGTGTTCCCTGCCGTTCCCCTTCCTCCTTAAGTTGCTATTAAATTATATTGCGTGGTACGCTTTCAGTAATAAAAGCTTTTTATATGAAAATTGAGGAATATTCTCTATGATTTTTGCCATGTTACACTTAAGTTTTAACCAGATAATCAGATGCCAGTAATTTACAAGCAGAGTTAGGAAAATTTCAAGAAATGCAATAAAATTAGTTTTAATCAAAGTTTCAAGGGGGTTATATCATTTTTAATTTCAAACATTTTTACGTTATCAGCTCTATATTGAAAAAAAATATTTAATAAGTATATATAAGGTAGAAAGGTAAGATAAATCACTTACTAAATACAATCAAAATTCCTAAATTTATTTTTATTTTTTATTGAGTTTGCATAGCTCTTAAATACTTCAAATTACTGATAATTAATTTTCTTCTCATTCAGGAGTGGAAATTGAGTAGCAAATCGGGCGAATTTTACATGATACTATTGCATTAAAACAATTAGTGGGCCATCAAATTACTAGATCTCAAACAAATGGATTGAGGTAATAATTCAGCATTAAAAATATACCTAAAGAGTTTATAACAAATTTTTCTTTTCGTTTGAATTTATATTCATTAACCAGAAAGAGAAAAAAGTTCGTTTGATTTAAATATAACGTATATTCAAAAAATGAATAGTTAAACCACAGATCTCAATTAATTCGCCTTCTATGAGCATGTATAATAACGGTTAAATATTCCCCCCAACGTAATCTTTTTTTCCCCGTAATTTTGTAAATACAATTTTCGTGCATCTAAATTAAAAGCACGCAACTTTTAAACTTGAAATCGATTAAAATTTAACTAGATCTAATTCAATCAAGCTAATTATACAGTTGATAGCGAAATTCTCGAGAAAAAAAGCATTCGAGTACTCACCAGCTTTCCTTGATGGGAGTTAGGAGACCATTCTTGAATTTTCTTTAAGCCACTATGCTCAATGACTGAATCATGGTCTGAAAGCCAAGTCAAATTTGCAATATCAGAGCAACCAATAATACTTGTGGCAGCTGTGCTGACACCATCTCCTTCTTCCTCTTCCGGGATAGTATTGCTCACCATCTTCTCTTGAGCAAAGGAGGCCTCAGAGTCTGGACTCAAGGGCGTTGGTACACCTAACATCTCGTCAATATCGTGGCAAGTGCCGATAAACTTGCTGCATGCTTCCAAGTCCAGCTTCAGACCAGTTCTTGCAGGTTTTGACCACCTCGGCTTGCAGTAAGTTAATCCATCCTCGCAACTTAATCTTCTCACATTCGATTTGTGGCGTTCGATCATTCGATCGAAGTCTTCGAATGTTTGAAAAGCCGTGTAGTCTAAATCTTTGTCTGTTAGTAGTTGATCGATATCGTAGCAACCACTAATGAAAACTTCCTTCATTTCCTGGTCATAATGCTGCTCTTGTTCCGCGTCTTGGTCTGGTGGGATGCTGATACCAGGTGAATCGCACTGGTTGCAGATTTCTGAAAATCCAGAATCTCTCTGGGAAGATTCTTCGTTCAGAGATTTGAATCTAAAGCACAGGTTCTCTGCTATAATATCTCCATGAGGTACGGCATCCGAACACCCTTCGGTGTCCAGGTCACTGTTGAGATCTGTGCTGTCCACAAATTGCTCCGCTAACATCTGAATTTGTTGCTGATCAAATTCTTCGAAAGGACCCTCTGCACTGGGAACACTTTCGAAAAAGTGACCATCGTCCCCAAAGGGAGTACTTCTTTGTGAACTTCTGTAGGAAGTGCCTAAAGTGTAAGATCTATCCAAAGAATCTGTGAAAAAGCCTTCGGTGTCGCCACTAGACCTATCTGCGTC